GAGGTCAGTATTTTGGCATTAGAGAGGTCAGTATTTTGGCATTAGAGAGGTCAGTATTTTGGCATTAGAGAGGTCAGTATTTTGGCCCTAGAGAGGTCAGTGTTTTGGCATTAGAGAGGTCAATATTTTGGCCCTAGAGAGGTCAGTATTTTGGCATTAGAGAGGTCAGTATTTTGGCCCTAGAGAGGTCAGTGTTTTGGCATTAGAGAGGTCAGTATTTTGGCCCTAGAGAGGTCAGTATTTTGGCATCAGAGAGGTCAGTATTTTGGCATCAGAGAGGTCAGTGTTTTGGCATCAGAGAGGTCCGTGTTTTGGCACTGGAGAGGTCAGGTTGTGAAAATACTTAGCTTTGAGAAAATACATGCTACTGAATGTTTAGGAGGGACTACCTGTTCTCCTCCAACACGGTCCCTCTTGGATGGTGTAGGAGACATCAATGAACTCAATGTCCACAGCCGTGCGTTTGGGTAGATGGGAGAAATGATGCCCATCCGTGATCTGGTTGTCCACCTTGTTCAGAACAGCCAACATTGATGACTCCTGCTGCAGCTGAGTCTGACTCCCTCCATTACACACTGCAGTCTCCTCCATGGGGATGCTCACATTATCGGGCTCCAGCGCCTTGTTTTCCATATCAGCTCCTTGGCTGTGGAAGAAGTGGGAAGTTTAAAACACAGATAGCTACAGATTGATTTGGGACTGGCCCTGCAGGTTCAAATGTTTTACAGTTTTTCTTAATTCTTTACACTAATAAAGTTGAAGTTGAGGCACAATGAAGGATGGTTTATATATCAGGCTGTGCTGTGGTGTAGTTTGTAGCATTGTTGCCTTGCAGCAAGAAGGTCTTGGATTTGTATTTTTCTGGGTTCTTTCTGCATGGAGTTTTCATGTTCTCCCTGTGCATACGTGGGTTCTCTCCAGGTGCTCCGTTGTAGTTACCAGATCTGCTTGGGACCTGTGCATGCCAGTGACGTTATGCTATATGACTGGCTGAACGTTGCCACATGATGTAAAACATTGTGGTTGCCCAGACAACGATAATAACAATGTAGCATATGTGTGCTGAGTCGGGAGCATCTGTAGCGTTAGTGTATCTAATGTCATCAGCATTAACAGTGAAACAGGAAGAAAGTTAAAGTAAGAATGATGTCTCGCCCAAGGATACAACAACGGAATAGGATGGAGCGAGGTATTCACTCCATCACCCACCGGTTACAGGACAATCCCCTAAATCCTCAGCCTCTACACTGCAAAATCTCATCTCATCATGTTTCCTTTAAAGGATCTGCTTACTTCTCCACTTCCTTATCTGCTCTCAAATTTCTGTGGTTGACCGTGGATTTGGAAAAAAGTATTCAACTATTTGCTGCAGTTAAATAAATGGAGATCGATGGATTTCACTCAGTCGGCACTTTATTTTATCTTTGCAAAGAGAAACAGTTCATCATAGGGCCCTTATTGCTTGGTAATCAGCCCTGTTCTGATCTGAGCAGCGTTCTTTCCCCCTAACTTTGTTGGGATCTGGAGGTCTGTTTACCTTCCTCCAGCAGAGGGCGCCCTAGTTCTCCTGGAGCTGAGCTGACGACCACACCTGCGGCTCATCAGTCATCAGGAGACCAGCATATAAGCAGCGGCAGGACTACACTCCAGCGCCAGAGTGTTAAGCCAGTTATGGTTAGCAAAGCCTGAGCCAACCAGCCTGTCTGATTCTCTGACTCCCCTGAAACCAGAACCTGAACCTAATCAGTTTTTTGTCTTCTCTGCTTCTTAGGAAGAAACCTGACTGAACCCTGGAACTCTGGAAGAGTTTCTCTGCTGAAATCTGCCTGTCCGCTCTCAGGAGCTCATCTGAAGAATCTACAGTCGAAACCTGCCTGCCCACCCTAAAGAAGAGGATCGGAAGAAACTCTAAACCTGAACACTGATAAGTCTGAAGTCGAGCCCTGCCGTTGCTTAGCCCTCTGCCAACTTCTAGCCTCTGGACCCAACCTGGTTCCCTCCCTCTGCTGCTAGCCTGAATCACGTCACAGGTACAGACCTGCTCAATTCCTCTGACAAGATCAACCGCATCCTGGCTAACCAAACTGTCCCTCTCTACAGAGAACCCTGTGTGACCAGTCCCGGATCTGTTTCCCAGCATCTATCCATTAACATTGTCTTTGTTTTAATAAACAGTCAAACTTTTCATCTGCCTCCGTTGTGTTCTGCATGTGGGTTAGAAATCTGAATCCCATCATGACATACTTACAATAATGGAAAGTAGTCAGAGTCAAAACAAATTACAAACACTTTGGTTAAACAATAAGATGTTGTTAATAAACCTTGAAAAAGAATCTGGCTTGTTTTGGGAAGAATGTATGTCTGGTCTACAGACACCCTCACACATGGAAATTGTGTGGCTTTGTAGGTGAAACAGGCTGAGTGAAAACTTTCATAGTGACTAAATAGGATAAATTAATATATAACATAAGAAAAACTAAATTTTCAGACCACAACCGACATTGTTTCACCATTTCAAAATTCTAACTGAGTCACATCTGTTCTTAAGAGGGAAAACCAAAAATCATGCATTGATACTGAGTTTACTTTGAAAGGTCTTTAAGTTGCGATTGAAATAAAAAATGAAACTCAAATCAATTTCAAACTATCTCCCATCCTTTATAAATCTAATTTTTTCTTATTTTAAAACAAAAATCAAACAGCTAGTCAGGAGAAATGACTTGCTCTGGTTTCTCCTACATAAGAAAAAAGAGAAACCCAACATAATTATTTCCAAAGATTAGCAAAATTAAACGGTGACAAATAAGCTAAGACCAAAAAAAATATATATATTAGAAATGACTTAAAACGTAGATATGTCTTATTGTGTTTCCAAATCTGACATCAAATTGTATAAAACTATTTTTATAGATGATGTCAGAAATAGCGTTTAATGGCTTTATGTTGGGCTACTGTATAAAACCTGGAACTAAACTCTATTTCTGACGTTTGAATTGAAAAAGGTTCCCTGATGGAAGAGAAACGTCTTTAAACTTGGAAACAAAGTCCGTCTGATTGTTTTTTTTTACTTTTTTGGAATCACTATGATCATGATGCTAGAAAAGTACTAAGCATGAGAAATATCTAACCTCCACTGTGTGTGTGATCATTCAAATGTGGAAATGTTTAATCTACATTCTTCTGTAAAGTAAAAATGGTTCCCAAGTCTTTGGTGGTACAGTAAGTCGTTCTGTTTGAGACAGAAGTCTGATTTAATAACTCATGAGGTTTTTAATCCTCCTGGAAATTAAAATCAATTTTTTTTTTTTTTTTT